CGTCACTGGGATTTTGATAGGGATTGCATTGAATCTAGATAGCTCTTGGAAGTATTGCCATCTTAACAATATTAAGTCTTCCAATTCATGAGCACAGAGTGTCTTTCCATTTATTTGTGTATTCTTTAATATAATCATTTTTCATAGCTAAGAAAAGAGCAACCATTATTGGTAGCTTCATAAATAAGAAGAGGTCCAGAGACCATGGCCATATCATATCACTGTTGCCTGAAAGTCATGCCCTGTCCCCCAGAAGCAACCACCGTGTGTGTGGGAGGGCACTTTCCCATCACTTCTTTTCTCTTAGACTCCTGCGGCTTCTGACCTCATCTCTTACTTACCTACCATTCACTCATGCCACAATTCATTGAGCTAAGTAGACCCACAAGACTGACGGAATGGAAAGCTGTTGTTTTGCCTACCCAGCACCCATTCTCCCTTCTTCTATGACAGCACCACAATTTTCCAAAGGAAAACACCTCTTCTCTCCTATCAGTGCACGTGCTTTGGGTGGGGCTGCCCCACCCAAGTTCCTGGAGTGGGCATATGAGCCAGGCCTAGTTGATTGGGACACTTCATGTCCTTGGCCACAGTTACTAGTTACTAGAAATGGGCACATGATCAAAGTGGGTTCGGTGAAAGCTAATCCCAGGAATTTTACTGGAATGGCACAAAAAGGCACTTTGGTCCCATGAGACAGTGAGCAATAAGAATGAGGCAAACCTGGAGGTGCCAGGGCCCACCCCAAAGGACATGAGGATGATGCCAGTCCAGAGCAAGGCAAGCCAAGAGATGAAGAAAGAACTACATGAAGAAATCATGTAAGCACCTGGATCCAATTGTACCTGAAGTAAATAAGCTTTAAACCTTTCAGTTGCATGAACCAATCACTTCCTCTTTTTTTTTAAATCTATCTCTTAATTGTTTTTATTTTCATCATATTACTTCCCTTTTTTGCTTAAGCCTTATGACCTTGGATTCTGTCATCTCTACCAAAAAGTCCTAATTGAGACTACTGTAAGCTAGCCTCTAATAGCAATGCTATACAAGTTAAAAACAATAAGTCACTTTTTCAATGACTCTCTGAACAAATTAATTATTGATGTGGTTTATCCCACAGAGGATCTAAGGTGCGCCACAAATTATATTTAATACAATAAAATGGAAAGTTATTAATTACAAGATCAGGTCCTGGAAAAACAGATTAAAGACAGCCCCAGGGGGATGTTTAGCATACAGCTTATCTGTGGGGCCCAGAGGGTTACTAAACCCAGGCAACAACTTTGTCTCAGGGCTTCCTGTTGGCCAAGGCAAAAAGAGAAATGGGGTTAATAAAACAATTTACCCAATTATCCATTCATCTCAAGAGCTGTTGATAT